CATAACAAAAAGTTTCATTCTTGTTATTTATTCACCTATAATAATAATAATAATAATAATAATAATAATAATAATAATAATAATAATAATAATAATAATAATAATAATAATAATAATAATAATAATAATAATAATAATAATAATAATAATAATAAACAACATCACTGGGGTCATATATATAAACAAAACATTACTTTATGCAAGTAATTTTTCCTCCTCTTCTTCCTCCTTTTCTTCTTCCTCCTCCTCCTCTTCCTCCTCCTCCTCTTTTATCTCCTCCTCCTCCTCCCTCTTTTCCTCTTCCTCCTTCTTTCCTTTCACCTTCTCCCCCTCCTCCTCTCCTCCTCCTCTCTCCTTTCTCCTCCTCTTCCACCTCTTCTCTTTCCTCTCCTCCTCCTTCTCTCCCTTTCTCCTCCTCCTCCTCCTCCTCCTCCTCCTCCTGTTCTCCTTTCTCCTCCTCCTCCTTCTGGTCTCCTTTCTCCTCCTCCTCCTCCTCCTCCTTCTGGTCTCCTTTCTCCTCCTCCTCCTCCTTTTCTCCTTTCTCCTCCTCCTCCTTCTGCTCTCCCTCCTCCTTTTCTTCACCCTCCCCCTTTTCTTCCTCTTCTTCCTCCATCTCCTTTCTCCTCCTTCTCTTCAACTTCCCCCTTTATTTACTCACCTTCTTCTCCTCTTCCTCAGGACCGACCTACAGGAGGCTGAGACCAACTCCCTCGAGACCAGGATATAACGCTTTTAATGTCAGGTGTGAGAAGACGACGAGGAAGAAGAGGGAGAATAGAAGGAAGGCGAGGAGAAAAAGGATGGGGATAAGGAAGAACAGAAAGAGGATTCGGAAGAAGAAGGAAGAATGACTTTAGCAACATCCTGTATCTTTCCTCCTCTCTCTCTCTCTCTCTCTCTCTCTCTCTCTCTCTCTCTCTCTCTCTCTCTCTCTCTCTCTCTCTCTCTCTCTCTCTCTCTCTCTCTCTCTCTCTCTCTCTCTCCACCCTTCCTTTAAATCATTTCTTAAAAAATAAATATCGTCTGAGTATTAATATTTTTTGTATTACCAACTTCATATTTCTGTTTATACTGTACCACCAAAACCGATGTATCATATATTGTCATGTTGATAGATAGAAATTACCATTACAATAAATATATGTATATACTTATAATATAGATGTAAAATAAATAAAATAATAAATAATGAAGTGATAACCGTGGTAACATTCTGATATGTTCTTATTACCATCATGTTATGTGTACTATTCCAGATGATACTAAATGTTACATAATACTTCCTTGAGATAAATGTATATTATATATCAGGTGCCTTCAAGAGAGCTCACAGGTTCTCAAATGACTCAGCCATGTTAATATTGTTATTATTATCCACTCTGTATCTGTGTTTTTCTGGATAAATAAACTGTTTCAATATCAATACCCATCCTCCTCCTCCTCCTCCTTCTCCTCCTCCTCCTCCTCCTCCTCCACCTCCTCCTCCTCCTCTTCCATCTTTCTCTCCCCTCTTCCTCCGTACATTTTTTCCTCCTTCTCCAACTTTCCCCTCCCGGCTTTTCCCACACCCACCACAATCCTCCTTCACTCCTTCCACCTCTTGTTCCCTCCTTCATCTTTCTTTCCCTCCCTTTCTCCTCCTTTCCTCGTCACTCAGGGGGTCGGACACACGCTGGATATTGACGAATGTGACACTTGATTTAGATTTGTCAGGGAACGAGGCGTTGCCAGCAATGTTTCTTTGCACCCTGCTTAGAGCCGTTTTTCCTCTCTCTCTCTCTCTCTCTCTCTCCCTCTCCTACCTACCTCTCTCTCTCTCTCTCTCTCTTCTTCTGTGTTTACTGACGTAACGGACTAGCGCCAGTAAATTCCATACACGCTCTTTTTTCCTTTCTTCTTTTTATCAAAACGCCACAGCATATTTCCTGGGCGTCATCAAAGCCTTCCCCCTTTTCCTCCTCTCCTCTTCCTGCCACTTTCATCACACTTCCCTCCTGTCTTCATCACTTTCCCGGTTTCACCTTTTCATCACTCCCTCTGCCCCACCCCTACCCTCGTTGTCATATCTTCCCTTCCTCCCCACACTCCTACTTTCATCATACTTTCCCTGTTCCTGCTTTCATTACTTTCCTCCTCCCACCTTTTCATTACCTTCCTCCACTGCCTCCACAGTCTCCTCTCTCTCTCTCTCTCTCTCTCCTCTCCTCTTTAACACACACACACACACACACACACACACCTCTGCCCTCCACCTGTTGATGTTGTTGGCTGTCTCTCCTGGTCCAACACATCCAGTAAACGCCCACTAAGTCCCGTCACTTGAACTGCAACTCTGAAGTCATTTTTATAATGATTCCTGTCTTTAATTTTCTTATTATTTGCTGATGTGAGAAAAAATGGTGATGTGAGAAAGCGGTGGTGATGCGAGAATGTTGTGGTGATGTGACAACGCAGTGGTGATGTGAAAACGCAGTGGTGATCTGAGAAAGCGGTGGTGATGTGAGAAAGCAATGGTGATGCGAGAACGCAGTGGTGATGCGAGAAAGCGGTGGTGATGTGAGAATGTTGTGGTGATGTGAGAACGCAGTGGTGATGTGAAAACGCAGTGGTGATGTGAGAATGTTGTGGTGATGTGAAACGCAGTGGTGATGTGAGAACGCAATGGTGATGTGAGAATGCTGGGCCCTTTCAGGGACCCTGGGAGAGCTCTTGATGGCCCCACCGCCCCAGATAGGGTCCTTGGGGGGCACCACATGTCCCTGGCAGGACTCGTTGGGAATGCTGTCGCTCCTGGGAGGGCCCCTGGGGGCGCCCATGGGAGCGCCGCCAAACCTGAGATGGCGCCACTTCCCCAGGGAGGCCCCTTGGGGCACCGCAGCACCTCGTAGGGACACTGCGGGCGCCACCGCCCCTGGGAGGGCACCTGATGGCACCATCGCTCCTGGCATGGTCCTTCGTGGCACCGCCGCCACTGCCCATGGGCCCTACAGGGGCAGCGCTACCAGTGGCCCTTCCAGGGGCAACAGCGCCCCCAGGGGCCCAACATAGGGGTGGCAGCGCTCTCAGTGGCCTCCCAGGGGCGACGACAAAACTAGGGGCCCTACCAAGGACGACAGCACCCCCAGGGGCCTTAACAAGGGCGGCGAAGGCCCAAAAGACGCTCCCAAGGGCAGTTGCGACCCCAAGGGCCCTGTCAGCGATGTAGGCCATCCCACAAGCGGCACCGCCCCAGGGGCACTCTCAGGATCGATGGAGCCACCAGGGAGCACCCAGTGGCCCTGCTAGAGGCATTGGTGACCCCAGGGACCATCTCAAGGGCGGCGGCACCCCCAGGCACTCTCCCAGGAGCGGCAGCGCTCCTATGAGCCCTCCCAGGATCAGCGGCGCCCCAGGGGTCCTCCCAAAGGTGGCAGGGCCCCTAGAAGCCCTGACAAAGGCCGTGGAACCCCCAGGGCTTCTTCCAGGGTCTCTGGCGTCCCAATGGCCCTCTTAGGGACGGAGGCCCTCCCAGGGGCCCTCCCAGGGGCCCTCCAAGGGGCCGTGGCGACCTTGCTTGGTTGTGCTGTCGTACATATTGCCTACGTCCAGCAATCCCTTACTTAACTGTGATTGGTGGACTAAAATGTAAATACACCAAATAACAGCCAATAGGAGAACAGAACAGTCAGTCAGCACAACACCCCAACTTATGTTTTCCTGTTGGATATTTATTCTCCTTTACATTGTTCATGATGGGATTGGACTGGAAATGCGATGGGCGGTGTATTTATTTTACGTCATATCTCCCATTGTTCTATATATTGCAGTAACAACTGGCCCCAGGAGCCGTACAGGGGCAACGCTACCAGTAGCCTCTCCAGGGGCAACAGCGCCCCCAGGGGCCTACTTAGGGGTGGCGGCGCTCTCAGGGGCCTTCCAGGGGCGACGACATACAAAGGGGCGTTACCAAGGGCGACAGCACCCCCAGGGGCCTTCTCTATGGGTGGCATTGTTCCTAGGGTCCCTCCCACTGGCGGCGGCGGCCTAAAAGTCCCTCACAAGGGCAGTCACAACCCCAATGGCCCTGTCAAGGACGTAGGCCATCCCAGGGGCACTCCCAGAAGCGGCACTGCCACAGGGGCACTCTCAGGATCGATGGCGCCCCAGGGAGCCCCCAGTGGCCCTGCTAGAGGCATTGGTGTCCCCAGGGACCCTCTCAAGGGCGGCGGCTCCATCAGGCACTCTCCCAGGGGCGGCAGCGCTCCCCTGAGCCCTCCTAGGATCAGCGGCGTCCCCAGGAGACCTCCCAAAGGTGGCAGAGCCAATAGGCGCCCTGACGGGGGCTGTCGCACCCCCAGGGCATCTTTCAGGGCCTCTGGCGTCCCAGGGTCCTCTCGGGGGCGGACGCACTCCCTGAGGCCCTCCCATGGTTTGCGGTGCTCCCAGGAGCCCTCCCAGGGGCCGTGGCGACCTTGCTTGGTTGTGCTGTCGTGCATATTGCATACGTCCAGCAATCCCTTACTTAACTGTGATTGGTGGACTAAAATGTAAATACACCAAATAACAGCCAATAGGAGAACAGAGCAGTCAGTCAGCACAACACCCCAACTTATGTTTTCCTGTTGGATATTTATTCTCCTTTACATTGTTCATGATGGGATTGGACTGGAAATGCGATGGGCGGTGTATTTATTTTACGTCATATCTCCCATTGTTCTAAATATTGCAGTAACAACTGCCCCCAGGGGCCCTACAGGGGCAACGCTACCAGTAGCCTCTCCAGGGGCAACAGCGCCCCCAGGGGCCCAACTTAGGGGTGGCGGCGCTCTCAGGGGCCTTCCAGGGGCGACGACATACCAAGGGGCCTTACCAAGGGCGACAGCACCCACAGGGGCCTTCTCTATGGGTGGCATTGTTCCTAGAGGCCCTCCCAAGGGCGACAGCACCCCCAGGAGCCCTCTCCATGGGTGGCATTGTTCCTAGAGGCCCTCCCAAGGGCAGTCGCAACCCCAAGGGCCCTGTCAGGGACGTAGGCCATCCCAGGGGCACTCCCAGAAGCGGCACCGCCACAGGGGCACTCTCATGATCGATGATGCCCCCAGGGAGCCCCCAGTGACCCTGCTAGAAGCATTTGTGACCCCAGGGACCCTCTCAAGGGCGGCGGCTCCCCCAGGCACTCTCCCAGGGGCGACAGCACTCCCCTGTGCCCTCTCAGGATCACCGGCGTCCCCAGGGGACCTCCCAAAGGTGGCAGAGCCAATAGGCGCCCTGACAGGGGCTGTAGCACCCCCAGGGCATCTTTCAGGGTCTCTGGCGTCCCAGGGTCCTCTCAGGGGCGAACGCACTCCCTGAGGCCCTCCCATGGTTTGCGGTGCTCCCAGGAGCCCTCCCAGGGGCCGTGGCGACCTTGCTTGGTTGTGCTGTCGTGCATATTGCATACGTCCAGCAATCTCTTACTTAACTGTGATTGGTGGACTAAAATGTAAATACACCAAATAACAGCCAATAGGAGAAGAGAGCAGTCAGTCAGCACAACACCCCAACTTATGTTTTCCTGTTCGATATTGATTCTCCTTTACAATGTTCATGATGGGATTGGACTGGAAATGCGAAGGGCGGTGTATTTATTTTTCGTCATATCTCCCATTGTTCTAAATAGCGCAGGAACAACTGCCCCCAGGGGCCCTACAGGAGGAGCGCTACCAGTAGCCTCTAGAGGGGCAACAGCGCCCCCGGGGGCCCATCTTAGGGGTGGCGGCGCTCTCAGGGGCCGTCCAGGGGCGACAACATACCAAGGGGCCCTACCAAGGGCGACAGCACCCCCAGGGGCCCTCTCTATAGGTGGCATTGTTCCTATGGGCCCTCCCAAGGGCGGCGGCGGCCCAAAAGACCCTCCCAAGGGCAGTCGCAGCCCCAAGGGCCCTCTCAGGGACGTAGGCCATCCCAGGGGCACTCCCACAAGCGGCACCGCCCCAGGGGCACTCTCAGGATCGATGGAGCCCCCAGGGAGCCCCCAGTGACCCTGCTAGAGGCATTGGTGACACCTGGGATGCTCTTAAGTGCGGCGGCACCCCCAGGCACTCTCCCAGGGGCAGCAGCGCTCCCCTGAACCCTCCCAGGATCAGCTGCGCCCCCAGGGGTCCTTCCAAAGGTGGCAGGGCCCCTAGAAGCCCTGACAAGGGCCGTGGCACCCCCAGGGATTCTTCCAGGGTCTCTCGCGTCCCTAGGATCCTCTCAGAGGCGGAGGCAGTCCCTGAGGCCCCCCATGGTTGACGGTGCTCTCAGGGCCCTCCCACGGGATGGTGACCCACGGACTTTTTAGAAGCGTCCCCTCGCAGATCCCTATAGCTTGCTTGGTTGTGCTGTCGTGCATATTGCATACGTCCAGCAATCCTTTACTTAACTGTGATTGGTGAACTAAATGTCACCAGCCTAGTCGTCTTCTCTCAACTCTACCCAACAATGTCAGTTAGAGAAGGTACAGAAGAGGACCTGCAGAATTTTGCAGACTACTCCGGCTACAACAACGCTCTCTCCACCCTGGAAATGCCATACCTCAGTGACCTCCACCACCACGCACTAGTAAGGTTTGGCAGTGGACTACTGCACCATCCTCGCCATCGTCACCAACTGGCACCGGCAGTCCTCCGCCCTCCTGGCGCAGTCCGTCACTACAACAAAATTCTGCCCATAAGAGCCCGCACTGATAGATATAAGAATAACACCATCCCATCTATTGTCAAAATTATAAACAACTCCTGATTTATGTACTGTACAGCCCTGTAAATGTATTGAATATATATATATATATATATATATATATATATATATATATATATATATATATATATATATATATATATATATATATATATATATATATATATATATATATATATATATATATATATATATATATATATATATTATTATTATTATTATTATATTATTATTATCATTATTATTATCATTATTATTATTATTATTACTATTATTATTATTATTATTATTATTATTATTATTGTTATCATTATGATGGCTTCACTGCCCCTGGGAGTCCCCTGGGTGTGCCGTCGCCCTTGAGAGTGCTCCTAGAGGCACCATCACGACTGGGAGGGCCCTTGGGGGCGCTGACGCACCTAGGAAGGTCCCTGGTGTCGTCACTGCCTCTTGGAGGGTCCCCGACACCCTTGGAAGGGCCCCTGGGGATGCCACAGCCTCTGGAAGAGCCCCTTGGGGCTCCACCGCCCCTGACATAGCCTTTGGGGTCGCCGTTACCCTTAAGGATGGCTCCTCGGGGCGCGGCCACCTCGGGGAAGACCCCTGGAGGCGCCGTGGTCCCTGGGAGGTCCCTTAGGGGCACCATCGCCCTTGGGAGGGCTACAAATTAGCGCCGCCGTCCCTGTGATGGCCAATAGAGGCGCCGCCGCATCTGGGAGGGCCCCTGGCGGCGCCTCCACTCTTGGGGGGGTTCTGGGGGAACCGCTTCCCATGGGCGGGTCTCTACAGGGCCCCTGGCATGGCCATCGCCCCTTGTAAGGCCGCAGGGGGCACCACAGTTCCTGGGAGAGCCCCTAGAAGCACCACCTCCCCTGGCAGGGCCCCTGGGGTCGCCTTTGCCCCAGGGAGGGCCCCTATGGGAGCCACTGCCCCTGAGAAGGTTCCTGGGGGCGCCAACGCTCCTGGGAAGGTCTCTGTGGGTCACGCCTACCCTAAGAGGGCCCAAGGGGGAGCCCAGGCAGGGCCCCTTGGGTCGCCGTCACCCCTGAGGAGGGTCTCCGAGAGCGCCAACGCCTCAGGGAGGTCCTCTGGGATCGCTGTCGCATCTAGGAGGTACCCTGGGGGCGTCGAACCTTCTGAGAGCCGCTGGAGGAGCCACCTCCCCTGGAAAAGCCCGTGTGGCGCTGCTGCCCCAGTGAGGGCCTCCTCTGTCCCTGGTAGGTCCCCTGGAGACTCTTTAGCCCCTGACAGGGCCCCTGCTGAATCTGGGAAAGCCTCCGCTTCCCCTGACAGGGCCGTTGGGGTCGCCCCCACCTATGGAAAGGCCCCTGAGGGCGCCGCCGCCCCTGGGAAAGACCCTGGGAGCGACGACGCCCTTGGCAGGGCTTCTGTGGTCGCTGTCACCTTTAAGGATAGCTCCTGGGGGCACGGTCGCCCATGGGAGGGCCTCTTGAGGCGCGACAGCCCCTGCCATTGACACTGGGGGTGCCTCCACACTTGGGAGGGCCCCTGAGGGCGCTGCTACCCCTGGGAGGATCCCATGAGGGCACCTCCGTCTTTGTGAGGGGCTCTGGGGGCGCCACCGTCCCTGGCAGGGCCCCTGTGTTCGCCACCGCCCCTGGGAGGGCCCATTGGGTTCGCCGTTGCCTCTGGGAGTACCGCTAAGGGCGCTACCGCCACTGGAAGGGCCCGTGGTGGCGCCATCACCCCTAGAAGGCCCCCTGGATTCGCCAACGCCTCTTGGAGGGCTACCGCTGCCCCTGCCTGGTAGGGCCCCTGGGGGCGCCGCTGACTTTTGAATAGCCCCTGGGAAGGCACCTAGGTGCGCTGCCGCATCTGAGAGGGACCTTGGGGTCATCGCCGCCCTTGGGAGAGCCCCTGAGAGAGCAGCAGCAGCAGCATTACTGTCCCTCAGGGTAACGAGATAGTCGGCCCCAAAGCCAACAACGGTTGCAAATATTGACTATGAGGCAACAGTCACTGAATGCTGCATGGATCTGCGACTTAAATAACTCAACACAGCTAGGGTAGCTACTTTTGTATTAGGATACTTAATTTTAAGGCAATAAAATGGCGGAGAAGGTGTAGCTATTGGGGTGGCTGGAGGCCACGTGAAAACAACAGCAGTAGCAGCAGCTGTTGTTGTTTTTGTTGTTCTAATATTATCACCATTATTATTTTGAGAAAGTAATGCTCACCCCTTACACCGATCACCCTGACATTTATCAATTCATTATTCAACCGTCCATCATCAAATTCCTCTCACTATTTCCCACCATCCCAACTTTACTCATTTTCTCCATGCTGTGTTCTCAACATTGTCTCTTTCTTCCTCTGCTTACCGCAACCAGCCAAAGACTTTTATTCCCTTCCTATTCTCTTTGCTTAATATTTTCCAGGTGACAGGAGCAGACAGCCTCTTCCCTGGCGTCTGGTGTGGTCCGCAGTGGAAGAAAGAATTCATCTCTTCCCCAAAAAAGTTCGACTCGGGACCAAACGATATTGTATCTTTCATAACCGGTGGTGCGTAGCGAACCCCTCTTGTGGCTGAGAGCCCCTCGTCGCGGAGCTCACAGCTGGCTAGCGGAGAGGATTAATTGGATACACCTGAAGAAGTAAAGGAATATTGCACCAAAGGATAAATAACAGTGTGAAATCAGCGTCACATCCTCGACTACAGTGAACTGAAGCGTCCATATGACAATACTCTAACTATTAAATTAAACAAATGATTCGAATAATAAGAATATAAATAACAATAACAAAATAAGAAATATTTTTCATCTAAAAACAATGATGTATGAGATATTGTTAGAATTGATCTTTCAAAGAAATTGTCAGAAAAGGATAGACGACCAGATGAGAAGATGGTTAATAATGAAGGAGAAACTGGCCTAAAGTTTGGGTACAACAGTTAAAGGATATAATTGTGACACGCAAAACAGTGTGTGTGTGTGTGTGTGTGTGTGTGTGTGTGTGTTACAGTGCATCGCTTAAGTATCTATGATGCAATTAATTGAAAGGAAAATCAGTTGAGAGAGAGAGAGAGAGAACCTCCTGTTTTAAAGTACAACGACCTACCACATATTCTCATTCTCTCTCTCAACAGCGTCACGTCTTCGCATAATGTGATCAATAATTACGCGCTCATTTCAATCAGCGGTGTGTGTGTGAGGAGGAGCTGGAGGGGAAGACTTGTGTGCGGCTCAGCAGGTGTGCGTGAGGCGGCCAGTCGTGCTGAAGATTACTGTCCGCACGCCTTTTATGGGCCGAGTGAAAATCCCCCGAAAGCTTTCTCCTGCGATTTTTAGGATGACTTAAGTCTTCGGTTCAAGAACGTGTGTTACAGCGGCGGTCGGTAAGTGTGAAGTTCTCGATGGTGTGTAAGACAAGAGTCAACCTTCCTGACCTCACCAACGGACAGCACTTACAGCTTTCAGATCGTCCATGCGTTAAATCCCCATGTCAGCGAAGTTCAGCATCAACCTGATCGTGCGTTAGAGTTAAGTCTCCATTGAAATGGTCTTTATTATCAGGACGGTATTGCTTGATGGCTGCCTGGTTCATGGACTCAGGATTACGATACTGCCGCCTTGTGGAGGGAAATCACTCTACTGTTGTTTTTTTTACTTATATAAATATTTGAGATGTTAATTTGCTTTTCATAATTTACACTAGATGTCTTAACATTGAGATCCTATTACCAAAACAATGGCGATTTGGTCTTTCATATAAGAGAATTTAAACCCAGATCTGCTTCCTGGTAACCCCGTAGCATGAACAGCTCCAAGAGAACCTACTTATTTGTTTACATGTGATGGAGACAATTTCATGAACTCAAAATCAGTCAAAAGTTTCGTCAAGTTTAGTAAAGAAGTTTCATTCACGTTCTTTAGGGAGTTGATAAGTCTTTTGGGTTGGACGTCACTTAATCATTATGTTTGATACTTGAAAAATGTAGAGAGATTATTGGTGAAGTTATAATTAATCCAATTACTTTTCTCTCCATCTATGTGTCTCTTTGTCTGACTTTGATTCTCGTTGTTTCTCTATTTTAGTTATTTATTTATCTGTGTATTAAATTATCTATTATTCTCTCCTTTTCTCTATCTATTTATCTAACTCAATTTTCAAATTTTCTTCTCTCTCTCTCTCTCTCTCTCTCTCTCTCTCTCTCTCTCTCTCTCTCTCTCTCTCTCTCTCTCTCTCTCTCTCTCTCTCTCTCTCTCTCCCACACCCTTCCTCCTCACTTGCATATTTCTTCCTCATCAATATCTCCCTCCCAATATAATAAGTCATGGTCATTTTCCCTCCATCTGCCAACACCCTTTCAGGCCTCCAAGTGAAATGAGAAATACAGTATATATCAGTCACAGCCCCAAACCTTGAACGTGAAATCCCATCTTGATTTATTTTTTATTATTTTCTCTCCATCTCTCTTCTTTATTCTTTCTTTTTTTCCTTCGTGGTGGTGCAGATGAGACGGGTAAAGGAAGAGAGTCCAGCTAATAGATTGGAGTCATTTTTTGATATATACTTTTTTTTTAGTTTGGTTTCTCATAGACGATGATTTGATGTGGTGGGGATGAGGAGGGAGGGGGTGTAGTTGGTGGGGATGGAGGGGCTGTGGGTGGGGAGGGAGGGAGTGTGGATAGTAAGGAGAGGGGTGGGAGGAAGTGTAGATAACGGAGAGGTAAGGAGGGAGGGAGGGATTGGAAGAGAGAAGGAGGGAGGGAGAGAGTGTAATATGTAGGAAGGGACGAGTGAGTGGAAGAGGGAGGAAGGGAGGGAGGGTGGTAGAGAGAGAGGAAGGGCAGGGAGGGAGAGAAGAAAGGAATGTGGGAGGGAAGAAGAAGGGAGTGTAGGTAGTCGGGTGGAAGGGAAGGAAGCTCTGTATATCTGTGTGTGTGTGTGTGTGTGTTCGTGCTGTAAATGGTGGTAAATATTGTGTTTATCATTACCCAGTAGAGTGAGCCTCACGCCGTCTTCTAGCTAACCAGACCCTTACGTCGAAGCTCAAACGTTAATCCATCACCTCCGGCGTCCACTGAGCTGTAAGACGAAGAAGTTGAGATAATGCTTAGTGAACGCCACAAGGAAGTGAACGTCGCATTCACTTCCTTGCGGCGTTCACTAAGCATTATCTCAACTCCCAGGAAGGAATATGACAGTGAACGCGACTCTTCTCTGAGACGTAGAAGAAATTGGTCAAATCTGAGAAGACGCTGAGGTAAGCTGAACCCGGGAGTGTGGTGACCCCGGCGAGACGGAAGACGGAGGAGAGGAACATGATAAAGATATAGATAAGATAAAACAATAAAAACGGTTAGGAAGAGACAACGGATAAAGGTAGGGATAGTGATATGACGAATAGGAAAATAAGAGATAATTAAACAAAGATGAAACACATTTTAAAACCATAATGAGAAAAAAATAAGATAAAAAAGAAAACTGAAAAATGTCAATCTCTCAGTCTCTAGGTCTCTTACACTCCCAGTCTCTCAAATTTCAATCTCTCAGTCTCTCAATCTCCCAGTCTCTCAATTTCTCAGTCTCTCAGTCTCTCAATATTTCGATCCTCTCAATCTCTCAGTCTCTCAGTCTCAATATTTCATCCTCTCAATCTCTCTCAGTCTCTCAGTCTCTCAATCTCTCAGTCTCTCAATCTCTCAATCTCGTAGTCTCTCCGTTCACTATCTCTCTGACTCTCCAGGTTAAACATACACAAACACTCGGGTGTATTAGAGAAATATACATATCTCTCAAACACAATACACCTATTGTATACTTAAGACATACAACTACATTATCTATTGTATGCTTAGAGAATAAAATTGGGAATACAAATTAATACTCTGTTGTATAATCAGCTTGAGTAAGAGAACCAAGATACGAGAATAGTTAAGAGAGATAACGTAATAAATGATAATAAAACCCATAATAAGAACACAGAGAAGAATGGGAATAAGAGAGAGAATAAAGAGGATAGATAATTAACTAAAAAAAACAGGAAATTATAAAAAAAATGCTGAAAACACAAATAATCTGATTCTAGGAAGAGGAAATAATCGATAAAAACATCAAAAGGTTGAAAGATGTAAAAATCGATAAAGATGCCTAAAAGAAACACAAAAAAACAGAAAAAAACAGGATTAAGGAGTGGAGAATCTAGCCTGAGGTTTATAGTATCTGTCATAGCGGTGACTCGATACGCTTCTTAGCTCACAAAATCATAGTTGACAAGTTTCCTCATTAGGAACTCCCCGAGTCTTGGTAATACCCGAAGCCTCGCCCAAAATGAATTTCGGGCTGAGCGAAACCCGACTCTCTCTCTCTCTCTCTCTCTCTCTCTCTTTCACACCTTCAGCATGTGAGATCGGGCGCCTTCTTTTGTCTTAGGAAGAGAGAGAAAAATTTAGAAAGAGTGACACGAACACGCGCGCACACACACACACACACACACACACACACACACAC